GAGAACTTGAAATTGAAAGATGCCCGAAGCTTAAGAGGATGCCTCTCCCTCCTAAACTTGAATCACTGTCATTATGTCTAGTCGAGTCGATAGAAGTTCCAAGATTATGGGAAGAAATCGATGGAAGTAGCAGTATGACTGTTCCAGAATATGGACTCCCCTGTCTTGGACAATTGCCGAGTCTCAAGGTTCTTCGCATCGTGGGAATGCCAACAGTGAAGAAGGTGGGCGATGGATTCTTCGGTTCTAGAGACCAAGGCAAATGTTTTCCTAGCTTGGAGGAGCTCACGTTCATCGACTTGCCAGAATGGGAAGAGTGGTCTTGGGCTGATGGCCGACAGCTGTTTCCTTGCTTGCGAGAACTTGAAATTATAGAGTGCCCGCGGCTTAAGAGGTTGCCTCCCCTCCCTCCTCCACTTGAAACATTACAAATAGATGAAGTCGGATTGACAGAACTGCCAGGGTTATCGGAAGGAATCCATGGAGGCGGCAGTAGCATAACTGCTTCTCTTTCAACATTGAGAATACGAAAATGTCCAAATCTAAGAAATCTGGAAGAAGGGTTGCTATCGCACAGCTTACCAAATATCCGTGACATTGAGATAAAGGAATGTGCGGAACTCATGTGGCAGCCGGCTAAGGGGTTTATAGAACTCACCTCCCTTGGGAAATTGTCAATCTGCAGTTGCCCGAATCTCTTGAGCATGACGCGAGATGGGGACATTAACATCTGCCTCCCACCATCGATAAAGAAACTAGTGTTGTCTGACTGTGGGAATCTGGGAAAATTGCTACTGGGCTGCCTGCACAACTTGACCTCACTCACTCGATTGGAAATAGGCGACTGCCGGTGCATAGAGTCTCTTCCAGCAACGTCGCTGCTTCACCTGAAACGACTTGAATCTCTGAGCATTTGGCAATGTGGTGAGTTGAGATCAATAGACGGGTTGCGAGTTCTGGAATCCCTCAGAGAATTGACCATCAAATTATGTCCCAAGCTGTTGCTGAATGAAGGGAATGAGCAAGTGGAGGGTTCGTCGGTAACTGAATTATACATCGACGACACAGCCCTGTTCAAACTATCGCTCTTAAGAAGAACACTTCCATCCGTCCGTGCTCTCACAATCTCAAACTTTCGTCGAGCGACGATGTCTGATGAGGAGGAGCTGTTGTTGCGAAGCCTCACAGCTCTCGAATCTATAGAATTCTTCAATTGCGAGAATCTACAATCGCTACCGAGAGAGTTGCATGTCCTTCCCTCCCTCCGGCTTTTAAGAATAATTGGATGTCCGGAGATTCAGTCGCTACCTGAGAAGGGGCTGCCGACGTCCCTCAGGAATCTACAGTTCATTGCCTGCCAGCCGAGGCTGACGGAGCAGCTGGAGAAGCACTTGGCCGAGATGAAGAGTTCGGGTCGATTTCGAATGTCACC